ACAGAACTCATGCCAATTGTTGTTTTTTGGTTTGAAGATATTATAGTTGTTGTAAACCATCCTGGAATTCGCGATGTTTTTCTTGGTGGTCGTTTAAAAAAGAAGTGGCTGTTAATAAGCCAGCAAATAGAACATAAATGTTCTCAATACCAAATAACTAAACTTTTATAAAGTCAATCAACATGTCTTAAAAGCAGTGGCGTAACTACCACCGGTCCTACCGGTTTCAGAGACCGGGGCCCCAAGCACCAGGGGGCCCCCAGAAATTGCAAGAGATTTTTTTTTATCTAAATATAATAAAAATGTTCAATATGAAAAAATAAAAAATTTGTTTGTTGTAGTAATAAATATTCGTTGCCTGCTAAATATTATATCTTTATTGTGTTCTTGTTTTTTTAAATTTGGAGTTAAATATTTTGAAATAAACAAAAGTTAATTGAAATTTGAAATAACCAATCTAGAATTATAAACTCGAAAACTCGTCTCTTGTAAAAATATGTTGGTTTGTCATGTTTTAAGAGCCCTGTCAAAAGATTAGCTCTATTAAAAATTTCCAAAATCGTCAAAAATTTGATTTTTTTTCTCGTTCCGATATTAATTTTTAATTTGAAAATAATAATGATTTTGAAAATTTTTGATTTCTTAAGGTCGCTCAAGATTTTTTTATCTTTCAAAGTAGAGTATTTTGAATGTTTTCGAGCGACGTCTGAATATATATATCAACGAACTTTTAGCGACCTTTAGAAATCAAAAAATTGATTTGAAATTTACAGAATTTTTATTATTTTCAACCTAAAAAATATTATCGAGACGAGAAAAAAACTTAAAATAAAACAAAAGTTCAATTTTTGACGATTTTGAAAAATCTTGAGTGACCCCTAAAAAACTTTAAATCGAGCTGATATATTGACAGAGCTCTTACAGCATGATAAACTAACATATTTTTACAAGAGACGAGAAAAAAAAATATTCTTTTTTGGGCCACCCTAATTATATATACCAACATTCTTAGAAATTTGCAATCTAAAATAAGAAATTTTCTATTTCAAATTTACAATTTTGGATAAAAAAATCAAGATTCAAACTTTCAAATTCGAAAACTTATTTACAATATAGCATAAATTAATATAGCATACATATATGTTTGCAGTCAGACAGTTTAAAATATTGGAATAAAAATATTCTTTGAAACGTAGATCTGATTTAATACAATAAAAATAAAATGTTTTACGTGAATAACACTTGATTTTTTTTCAATCATTTGTATCCGTACCTTGAATAATACATCCCTTCGAAACCCTGTGCAATGAATATTAATTATTGTGCAAGGTGTTGTGGAAAAAGTTTAAATGATTCAAAAAAATTTCCTGGTAAGGGCCCCCTAGTGAGAATCCGACCGGGGCCCCCATTTCTATAGTTACGCCACTGCTTAAAAGAGCAACATTTGCAAGAGTCCTGTTGGATTCGTAGCAGCTGGAAACAATGCGGCAACCAGTTAATATAGATAAAAATACTCGTCATTGATGTTTCATATTTCACTCTATAATATTTCCTATTCAAGTACTGCATTTCTAAAAATATATTTTGACAATTTACTTACAAAAGTAATAAATTTATAACCCTTTTAAATTTCATTTTGCGCCAACCTGTAGTTATTAACATTTACTTGAAACTAATTACCGAAAATATACAATGGATTTATTAATTTCTTGTTTAACATGAATTTCATGTTTTCTGGATAGATGGCGTTCTACATGGGTCTTCTGCATGCCCCTGTATCCACACTTGGCGCAACCAAATCTGGGCAGTTTACCGCACTCATACTTCATGTGCCTCGCCAATGTAGATTTTTTCGCATATGTTTTATGGCATTTAAAACAAGCGTATTGTTTTTGTGATATGAAATGATAAAAACCTAAAATTTTATTAAGGCAAAACTTAAAATAAAATAACAAACTTAAAATTAAAAGAAGAAAATAATAATATGTACAGTGTTAAAAAAGAAAAAAAAAGAAAATAAAAGCTTCGTTTTTGGATTATTTTTAAACCAGTATAGCAACTGCGCATCTAAATGGTTTAAAAGTAAACTAAAAAATGTTTCGCAATAAAAAATATACAATAAAAAAACTCGTAATAAAGGAAATTTATATTGGAGGCATTTACTCCATCTTTTTGTGTTTATTGTTTGACATGTGAAACCTAAGAGATTCCTTTCTATGAGTTCCAAAACTACATAAATTACATTTGTATCTTGGCGATTTATTGCCACATTCGTATTTAACATGTCGACTTAAATGATTTTTATTTTTGTAGCTTTTTGCACACATGTTACATGTGTATCGAATACCTAAAATAATTATTTATCAGTATAGGTACAGTTATTTAAGCCGACAAAATTAAACTTAAATATTTAATTTTATGGACTAGTTATGTGCAAAAGTTTTCTGATAAAAATGCATTTTAAAATATTAAATAAATAAAAAATATATTGGTTAATGTTTATTAAATGTATAGCTGGAGACAGAACCAAAGGTCTGTATACTTTCCTGGGCAAAAAATTAACAAAACAAATTTATTAGAATATGTAAACTAAAAAAAATGGTATTAATTTTAGTCGCCCAATTTTTTACGTACAACTTATAAATAATAAAAATACTACGTTTACAATCTTTATTATCTTACAAGGACTTATTTAGGTATTTCGATTTTATAATGTACAGTTGCCATATGCGCTTTCAAGTTGTGTCTATGCTTAAAAGTTTTGCTACAAAAACTACAAATTTCCGAAGGTTGTTTATTACATTCCTTTTGCATATGCCGTACCATCGAACTCTTGTATTGATATTTTTTGCCACATTTTGGACAAGGGAATATTGAATCCATTCCTACAAAAGAATCTGTAAGTATTATTTCAAAACACTAAAAAATATTAATAATATTCTGTTGTATATTTATTTTTTTTATTTAACAAGTAACAAAACATTTAATGTACAGTATGTCTGGATATTTTTTTATAATATTCTTCAAATTCTTCTGTTTTTTCTGGATGGACCCTGTAAGTATGTTTCCTAAGATCATATTTTTGAAGATACTTTTTCTTGCAATACAAACAATGAAACTTCACTGACTGACCACATTCATATGTTTTGTGCCTCCATAGTGATGAATAAATTTTATAGTGTTTAGAACAAACTTCGCACTTATATTTTCCTAAAAATATATTATCAGAAATAAATCATAAGTTTTATACAGGAACACATTTTAAAAATGTTCCAATGTAAAAATTATCTAGACCAAGCAGGTGAAGTTTTTTACATCCTAGTCTTTAAAAAACCCGCTAGAACCAATCAAAAGTTTTTATAACTTGTTACAGCTCTAAGCTATCTAACCTCACCTTATACTTTTAATAATTGTTTTTATAATTGTAAATACTTCAAACTTTGTGCTCAGCATAAAAAGACTCACTTTTCAGCCTTATGACATAAATAGCTATTGTTACTGTTATTTTTAGAACATAATTTATTTTAATTTTAAAAGCCTTTTTCTTACCTTTTTAAAGTTTCAACATTATATGGTATGGTATTGTAACGCAGATGGGCTTCATAGGTCATGCATGGCCTACATGTAGATGTGTAGATGTGTCGATGTGTAGGTGGGCGAAGAAAATAAAATAGTAACCATTTATGCTCAGAACTAGAGGTGCCGTCTAGACAAGACAAGACAATAGTGTGAGTCTTAGTCTTGATTAAAAAAGCTTAATGCGGTTTTGTCTATATTAAGTAGTCTAGATTACTATTTAAGAGTCTAGATAGAAATTTTTCGTCTGCGCAATGTACACTGTTTAAAATATCTGTGGTGTAAAGAGTAATCCTAAAATGGTGTCAAAATCCAACACCAAGTGGTGTTAATATAAACACCATGAATTATGGTTCCTGGTTGCATAGTGTGTACCGATCGCGGCAAAGGCGGTGTGGATCACGTGATGTTCTTAAATCTCGCCTCTGTTGACTTACATAAAGAGTATATAAGCTCAGGTAGTCCTTTGCTTTGGTGTGACACTACAAGTTGTTCGATACTAAAGAGACCTTAAATAGGTGGAAACAGCTGTCAATACTTAAAGTATTTTAAGTTGGTGGAACGCACTTAAAACATTATTTCTAGCGAGTTGAAGGTTCAATTTTCTGGAATAATACCACTGGTAATATACGTGTAATGCGCCAAGGAACTTCCTGTTTCCTTTTTTTCTATGTAGTATGATTTAATATTTAACAATGAAAAGGAGTTCAATTTACACCAGGTAAAATTTATTTGGACCAACAAACCATATTTAACACCATTTTGGTTTGTATCGATATAGACCATGTATGGTGTTAATTTGGTGTTAAAATGGTCATGAAACAGTGTAACCCCTTCGTGTGATATTAGGGAGTAGGACGGTGTAAACGTAACGTGGAAAGTGATTCTTAAATTATAGTTTACTTTAAAATGACAAATTGCCCAATCAAAAACCGAATTTTGCATTATGGAGTTAAATCTAAAGTTGACTTTTAAATTAAGAAATTGGCCCTGAGAGAGATAGAAATAAATTAATCCGCCGTTATAATTCTTATTTTTTCACATCTTCATTGGTATTAAAGAAAGGCTTTGTTAAGGTCGGTGAAAATTTTCAAAACTTTTAAAATTTTCAATATTTTCAAAAGTTTCCATATTTTCAAATTTCAAAGAAATTTCAAAATTTTTAAATAAAAAATTTTACCCAATATGTTTGCACATCCTGTACAATGGCACTCTGTGCACTACTGTTTTTTAAATTTGCCCCTACGAATAATAAAAATAAAACTTAACACAAAAATTTTATTAAATAAATAAATAACTAACTATTACCTACATAAATTTTACATCTTTGTAATAATCCTTATACAATACATTAAATTCGTATTCTCTTTCAGGATGTTTTCTTTGAACGTGTTTTTTCACATCGTACTTTTGAAGAAACTTACGATCACAGTAAGCGCAAACAAATTTCTTTTCTTCCCCGCATTCGTATTTTTTATGCCTCCATAAAGACGATGCGTTTTTATACGACTTTGTACAAACATCACAATGAAACTGTAAACCTGAAAATATATTTTTTTAAGTTTTAAGTTCTATTTTATTAAATTAAATTACTAATCTGAAAAAATGGAAGAATCTGATGCAAGTATACATATAAGTGATACAGTACAATTTTTACAAATTTATTTAAATAAAACAACCATACAATTTTAATTTTTTACAAGATGGTTAAAAATACAATATATTTAAAAAATCTACAATTTATCCATTTCATGTTTAGCTTTGATATGTCCATTAAGACAATGAGGATATTTAAATTTTCTTCCGCAATAAATGCATGTAAATTGAGGTTTAATATCGCATTCCATTTTAATATGCCTGTTTAAGTGAGATTTTTGTTTGTACGATCTCTTGCATTTGTTGCATTGGAATTTTTTAAGTGACTCTAAAAATAAATTTTTATTATTATTTATTGTGTACCACCAAAATCTATTTTTGTTAAATTTCACAACAAACACTAAATTTATATTAATATATTTTTATTTGTAAAAAAGATGTAACAATATTGTAATTCTATAAGGCACGTAATATCTCAGATAATAATAGCTGTAATATACAGGGAGTGCCAATAAAAACAAAAAAAAGTAAAATAAAACACAATAAAATCATGGTAATGGCCATTTGTGTTTGAATATGATTTCGGTCGTATGGACACCGCAGCAATTCTCCACCACTTTTTCAAGCAGCTGCAGCTAGCTAATATACATTCCAATTCCAAGTAGTTCTAAGTCTGTGGTCTATTGGCGAATTCACAAGATCGTGGAGGCTAATTTGAAGAAGTCATTGCAAGAAGTGCCTTAGTCACATTTTCAATAAAATTGACATTGTGGCGCTCTCTAAAAATGTTTCACTTCAGCTTTGATGTGCAGAATTGCAGAAATATGTGTCTAAGTGCCTTAGTTTGCATTTACTTCAATGTGAGTTTTCCTGAAGTACCTAAGTCATCATTTTGACAGATGCAATGCAAAATGTGCGTTAGTCCGCGTTATTTAAATTAGATTATATCTGAGCAAATTACCTATTAAACTGTGTAAATTCTAATAATTTGTATCTGTAATTAAAGACATAACTATGGCTGGTAAGTAAAGTAAAATAAAATAGATTGTGGAACTTTAAAACAAACCAGTTAACGTTTTTTTTGCTCGAACCTTGTCTGAAAATGGTATAATCCAGCAAAATGATGTCATTGATAAAGAAATTGATCAGTTACAAAAGGCCAACGCTGTTTATGAATAGCCAGAATTCTTAATATTTTCTTAGTTTTCCTTTAAGTTATGTCTTGGTCTTAAGTTTTGTTCACAATTTATATATTTTTTTACGGGGTTATAATATAATAAACCTTTTGTTAAGTATAAACAAAATTTTCCTCAAAACATATATAAATATATACACATATATTAAATGTAAGGGCAGTTATCAATGTTCCAATTTGTTCTAATTTGGACAATTTTCAATTACCCTGTTTTAAATAAATTAAACGTCAGTTTTTAATATTGTTAGATTTGGGCAGTTTTCAACTAACCGAAACATTTGTTTTTTTATTTAGTTTTCAATAAACCGGTTTTAAATAATTTAACAATTATTAAATATTTTAACGTAATTTGTTTAAATATTTCGAAGCAAAAAATATTGTTAGTTGGGTGAAGAAATCAAGATATTGAATTATTTATTCACATAATGATGATGGATGCAACGTGGTCTCTACTAGAACCCGTAGAAACTAACCTAATTTCCTTCATGCATCGAAGCAGTGTTGCCAGATAAAAACATTTTTCCTTATAGTACCTAAACAATTTCATTGAATAAATTCACAAAAATATTTTTTTATTATAATTACTTAGGAGATCAAGGTAGCTGCAATCTGAAGGTAGATTTCAAGTTTCAATTCGAAGGATAACCAAACCATTAATTTAAATTTTTAGAAAGCTAAACCGTTAAAAATTAAAAATAAATTTACTTTTTTATCTATAGCACAAATAGCGGTTTAATAAATTGATATAAAACACTATGCGCAAATTATTTCGCCCCATGGCCGATTTGCGTTAAAACGCTCAATCTGGCATCACTGCATCGTGACTTAGATGGAGACCTCAAAGTACTTTCGTTACGGAAGTTCCGTAACGTAACGCCAAGTTTTGTTTGTGCTGTCCTCAAGGGAGCTTACTTCTATAATAAATAAAAAAATAAATTTTGGTAGGGCATGTTGCGCCGTGTTATAAAACCAAAGCTCTTTAACATTAACATAATTAAATTGGAAAACAAAAAATAAGTAATCATCAATCAATAACGACTTTGAAGAAATATGGGCCAATGATAACCCTACAAAGAGTGACTGTTACTGGGTATTATTAATAGCATCTGGATTATTTTCATATTACGTTATGAAAATGAGGATCCAAAGCAATATTGTTTTTGGCCCATACACGAGCCAGCCGCGGCGACCATATGCTGGAAATCCTATTTCAACACGAATGCACTGAAAAAAATAAGCTGTTGAAACAACAAAAAAAATATTAATTCAACTCTTTATGCACTTTAAATACAAGCAATGGTTTTTGCACGTTTACTTAACCATCTAAAAATGTCAAATTGTATTGTTTAATTGAACAACAAATAACAGTCAAATGAACAAAATTAGGATATTTGTTCCAATCTGCTAATTTTGTTAATTTAACATTCTTAGAGTGTTAAGGCAACTTTATGAATGCAAATTTAACATTTTAAATTTTAAAATAACATTTACAATTTGTTAAATGAACAAATTTAATGTTGTGGATTAAACAGCAACTAAACGTTAATCTAATAGTTTTTTTAGGTAATCCCAACAATTTTAGTATTTGATTTAACCAATTCCAGCTATTAAATCAAAATAGGATAAAAACTTTAATTCAAACAATTAGTTCATGTAAGATCAATATTTTAAATTGTCAAATGAACAAATAAACTTTGACAAACTCTGACTATTGCTTTGACACCAAAATATAGATTAATCCAATAGGTTTTTTGTTGAAACAACATTTTCAAAAATGACATTTAGGCAAATGTTAAATCAACGAATATATTTTTTTCGGTGTGGTATAACATTATTATTTTAATAAAGCCCATGGCCATTACCAACATATACATAGGTTCATAAAAAATGTAATAAGCATTATAGGGCAAGTGATATTAAAAGTTTTTATCCTTAATCCTATAATTTAAAGTTTATTATAGTCAACACTCACTACTAACGTAATTGATTATCGCCTAGGCTTTAAAAATAATTTAACCAATCGGCTAAAGTTTTTAACCTCCTAGTCTGTACCCGTTTGGACCAACTTAAAGATGAAATATTGTATGTTATTCGGCTAAGAAGTGTCTTTCTGCTTCGCATAAACTTCAGACTTTGAGCTAAGCACAAAAAGACTCACTTCTAAGCCTTATGACATAAATAACTATTTTACTTTAAATAAATTTATTTCAAATATCTTCTTATTAAACATCTTCATATAAAAAAATATTTTTACATAGGTTACAACCCTTTTAATAAGGTATTTACTTGCCCTATTATTAATATTCACATATTAAGGTTGGTGCTTATAGACCTTGTTCCCACTCCGTATAAAATATAAATAGAAAATATATAGATCTAAAATCTAAAATTAAGTTTATAAGTACACTTTTAAATTACCTGCCATCAAAAAATAGGGGATTATAACAACATTAAAAAAATGTATTCTCGCACAAACCAAACAATAGGTACAGAAATATTCGATTGGTGTTAAAAATCTAATATTCCCTATTTTTTGCAGGAAGTTTAATCGGCTAATTTCCGAAAACCTTCATTATGCATAATACGTAACTACAATAGTAACGGTTTTAGAATATTAGCGGAAAATAACGGCAACATAATATTATATAATATATAATAATATTATAATATATAATATATAATATATAATATATAATATATAATATATAATATTATATATTATATCTTTAGCATATACAGGGTGCACCAAGTATACTTCTTTGTTTATTTAAAGAAAAGGTCGTTTGAATTGGACAAAAATTTGAAAAAAACTGAAAACCTGTCAAAATAAAAAATCTTTAAAACTTTGTTATTCCTGGGAATTAAAAAAAGGAAGTTTATTTGTTATCTACATTTTTATCCAATGAAAAAATCAAGGAATCAAACGATGTATTACACTACATAAGTTATGGCGTCCATTATTAAAACAAAAGTAGAAAAGAAATTGGATACAAATGAAGATTAATATTTATGTTTACATGTAAAACTAAAAAAGTTATAACGATTTTTGGTTTTGGAGAGTTTTTAGTTTTTTTCAAATATTTTGAGAACCGTTGTCTTTTTTTCAATTTTTAAATTTTATATTAATAGGCTTGTAATTAACTTTTCTCTAATTGAACCGAACTTGTAGCTCTTCATAGGTATACAAAAAATACCCATAGAAGTATACTTGGTGCACGCTGTATATGATACTACTAATATCCAAAAACCATTAACTAAAATCTCGGTTCTTTTATGTAAACATACGGTTTTCGGATGTTAGCGGAAACATACAAAATAAAATAAAATCCAAAAATAAAAATATATAGTATAGTTGTTTTGTAGTTAAACATGTTTATTTTTTACTTGGCTGTTATTTTGTCATAACGCCTTGAATAGGGGGTTTGTAGATGTATCCATAACAACCGATGCGTAATGAGAGGGCGTAATGAATCCATTACGCCCTCTCATTAAGCATTGGTGCATAAATAGCCAATACGAATATCAATAATAATATCATCAATAATATTTTAAAGCTTTATAACCATTGCAAGAAAAATAATATATATGTATATACGAGTGTATATATATATATATGTGTGTATAAAACGATAACATTTTTTATACCTACCTAATGGGAAAATTTAGAAATAATACTTAGCATATTACGTCGCGTAATTTCCACAAGGTTTTAAGTACATTTTGGTGAATTTTACAGAATAGCAATTTTTATTAGTATGATTGCAACGGTTTTTGAGTGGAAAAATATTCTATTACTAAAGGGTTTAATATAAAAAACCTGTAAAAATTCTATAGAATATATAAAATTAAAAAGAAGAACGTATTTATACGGTAGTTTTATTTAAGAGTAATAAAATAGGCCTTTAAAAAAATTAAGATAGGAAGTTATTTTGTTTCTTAATTTCGTTTTTTATTGTATCTTCTGTAGCTTATCTGTAACATTACTACTACATGGAATAAACGATTATCTTGCCATCATTAGGTCAATAGCAAATATTTTCAAACTGAACATTGCAGACTTTTTTTACATGCGTTGGTGTGCATATCCTAATTTTGACTATTAAAAACCCTGTGAAACTCATACGACGATTATTAAAAAATATATAAATTAGTTAATAGTTTAGTATTAATTTAATGGTTTATAATATTTTTTAAACCATTCATAATATTTTAACTGTTTTAAAGCATGCTCGTCAAAAATTATTTTTTACAAAATTTTACAAAGCCCAACTGGTCATTTCGGTGATGTGTTCAGATTTTGGCACCAGAGTTGTAGTATATCCTTTTGTCAAACGAACTATATTTTTGTTTCAATATAAAACTAAACCATAAATAGAGTACCTGTATACCAGGAACTACTTTGCTGTTTTTGGAAGTTGTTTTGTTATATTATAAACTATCGTTTTTAAGTTTTTTTAATTCAACCAGGCTTTCTTAATATCCAGCTGTTTTTTATTTTGATGAATTCTTAAAATGTGCCTATTAACATGCATTTTTTGTTTGGCCCTGTAATCACAAAATGTGCATTGAAACCGCGGCTCTTTTCCACACTCCCATTTTTGATGATTTCTTAATGAACTCTTGCGCTTGTAAATCCTTCCGCAATCGGCACAAACGATTTTTTTGTCGCAATTTTCGTGACTTTCTGCTTTTAATTTGTTTTTTGATTGCTTCCTGATCAAACAAAGTGGTAGGGCTAAGTAATCCGGCATCGACTCAAATTTTGGCAGAACTTTAATGTCACCTAAAATAAATTAAATGTATTTTTATAATTATAGGGATTTGTGTTTTATTAATGCATGCCAATAAAACACATGTGTTGTAAATTTATTTTTATTAAAAAAATATAAATGCTGTAGATATATTAAAATAATATTATTTAAAATATAATTTTAGTTATAAAAACAGACAGGTTACTTCTATTTATTTATTAATTTTAACAATATATCCTGTCGTTATCAAAAATAAAGTCTATAAAATACCATTTTTTATTATTAAAAAAACTAATACTAATTTATTTATTTCTAATCCCCTGCTCAATATAAGTACCTAATAATCTTTGCGTTTGTAAAGTGAAAACATTAATAAAGAATATAACAAACACCCTTAAAAATATAACATAACAATGTAACAAATAATGTATTTTGGTTTACATAAGTACTAATAATAAATTTTATTTTTATACCTGGCCGCACTACCCTGAAAATAGTAAGTAATAATAAAATCCCTTAATATAAAAATAGTTAAATAATTCAAAATAGTGCATATTTTACTTGTTATTATTACAATATTGTTAATTTTATAAAAAATATGCATACCAATAACCGTTATAAAAAATGTATAAGATATTTTGTGACATGGGTATTTTCTAATATTCTAGGACCAGATTTTTGATTTAAATAAATATACTTCTTTTCTATGATATTTCAGGCCCTGCATAGACAAATCTGTTACCAGAATATTAACATAATGAATATTAACAGCCCCAAAAAATCGTATACGAATGAAAACATTTTTGCCTAGAATAAAATATTGCTTAATCATCCTTGTAATTAACAGGCATATAAATTTCTATACTCTCGCTGTAAAGTTCACATTTGATTCGCTGATGCCTCACTAAATTTTTCTTTTCGTAGTACGTCCGGCCGCAGATGCATCTAAAGTTTCCTTGTCCTTTCGGACGTCTTAAAGGACCTACAACATGTTTTATTAAAATAATCTTGTTTTAAACTAAGTTGAACCTTTACCCAAATGAACATGATAGAAATTATTTAATAAGACAGTTTTACCGTTTTTATTTACACACAATTATTTACAAAAATGTAAGTTTAAAAACAATTATTATTTTGGGAAAAATTAAAAACAGAGTTTATTATTACGCATATATTTAAAATTAAGTTAAAAACTATTACATTATTTATTATTGGTAACGATTTACGACTAGTTAGATTGTTTACTATTAATATTACTTTTGAATCCTTTTATGACATCTGAAGCAATATATGGCAACTAAAAACTTAATATACAGGGTAAGTAGGAAGGAACTCACGAAACTACAGGAAGATATTTTACACGTAATAAAACTTGTGTTGTCTAATTTTCACTTTGTTCATGTTATTGTGTACTTAGATTTTAGTCGCGTTATATTTTGATTTGTATATATAAAATTAAAAAATATTTAATAGTAAATTAATACTTGAATCACGTAACGTGATAAAAATACATAAATGGTAATTATATCTTAAAAACCCAGACAACGTCCTTGATCGAGATTTTCTTATTTATTTGCCTCCACGAACCCCAGACCGTAATACAGAAAAGCATGTTTAAAAGTACTAAACAAAAAATGGAATTTCGTGCGTTTTTTCTGAATCACCCTGTATAACTTAAATGGAACGATTAAAATCTGTATAATTATATTAGAGTGTTTCAAAAAAGCAGACTATTTTTTATAGTTATATCAAAAATATTGTTCTCCCCGCAAATTTCTATTTCCCATTGAAATATAAAAAATTATAACTTAGAAATTGTATAAATCATCAACAGATGAGTGGATCAGAATAACCAAGACGGAACTTGTTGAAAATTAAACGGTCTACAAAAAGGTTTCTTATAATTTTTTTATAAATTCACTCTTTTAAAAGTTAATATTTTAAATTTTCATAATATTTAAAAGCGACCAGAACAAGATTTTTTTGATAAAGTTACCCTTTAAATGCAAATAATCTTTTAGGAATTTTAAAATATTTGTAAAAGATAATTAAAGGAAAATAAAACAAAAGGTCCTATAAAATTTTGCGATAACTGATGTGCCATATCCATAGCGTTTCATTTAAACTGCAATGTATGACATTAACATGACATAAATATATATAAATATGAATATGGCCAAGAGATGGCCATAAATATCTGAACTAGAAATAGTTTTCTTTAAAAATGTTTTTAACTGGCTTAGATCAAATACTGCTAAGATTAAGTAGGATAATCTGTTAATTTACTGTAAATTCAATTTAAATATCTTTTAACCTTTTACTGGTGGCGCACGGCCTAACAGGCCCAAGCGATCTTATTTAGCGGATCATTATGAAAATAATTAAGAGACAACTCTGTATTTTTCAGTACCTTCCTAACTTTTTGGGTAGAAAGGTGTAGTGCAATGTTTATTTTCTTACAGTTTTAACTTAAAAAGTTATAACCTAAAACGGCCTGAAAGGCCGGGCGCCACCATTTATGTTATATGACTATTTTGTTGTATATTAATTATTAAGCATATTTTTATACCTTATTCTATCAAATATGGTCATATTTTATGGGCTAATGAATGTGGCTAGAATAAATGCCCAAGTAATACACACTGCTAATAATTTAAATTATTAATGCGAAGGCTCTTGAAGAATGGCGCTATGTCCTAGTAGAAGCATTTGAAACGCCGTTCTATGAAACAAAATTTACCAACTGAGGTACGTCAAAGGCGACAAGAAGTAGCTGGGACTTCTGCCGATAATGTTGAACCTCAACTAATTCGCCCTGGGACCAGAAAAAGGTGTGCAGAATATCGCATAGACAGAAGGACCACACAATTCATACCCAAAAATTTCTATGCATGACCCATGCCAAAATTATGTGTCATAATTGTGTGAAAAAAAATCAAAACCACGTTTAATACGATATTTTGTTATTCAAGCTTATAAACATTTGTTGTTTTTTTCGTAGAATAAATTTTTTATTTAGTTTTTTGTGAAATAATATTATGTCATCTTATAATCCTGTCCCCATACAATTAACCCCATATTTCAAACATATGAGGTTTTTTTGTTAAAAAAATCAGTGACCTTGGTCACAATAGGATTAAGTAATAAATTAAAAGTAAAAAAATTCACAAAGAAAAAATACTAGCTTAAATATGATTTTTTTTAATTTACGGGCCTGACAGGCCGGGCGCCACCACTAATGTTAAATATAAGGCGCCACTACTACAATTTATCTTAAAATAAAAAAAATTGTGGAACGTTTAGTTTCCTAAAAAAATGAGTTATAATATTATAAAGTTAAAAAAAATCTTATGTTATTTCAGTGGGAAATAGTAATTCGCGATGTTTTAAAATTAAGAGCTCAAATTTTAATAGGATCATTTTTGGATATACATTTTGAAAAAAAGTAGATTTCTTTAAACAGTCCAGTCAAAAATATTAATATCATTGAGGTACATTTAACATAAAAAAATAAAAACATTTTCATAATTTATTATTAGGTAAATTATTTAAGAAATAATTATAATTAATATAATATATGTATGTATATATATATATGTATATATATTACGACTAATTTGTAAATCTATTTCTAACCAATTAGCAGCCAGTTTAATTATTAACTAACTATAAGTCTTTGAAAATTTACTTAAAATTAGTAAGGAAAATTAAATAGTTGGATAGTTTGTAACTATTCAATTCAGATTGGCAAATAATTATTTTTTTACGGCATATTTCTGGTTTTACAAAATTAGTAATGGTTTATGTTTTAAAAGTCACCAACTCAACCATTACTATGAAGACGGAATTTCGAACATCATAATTTGGTTGTCTTGTATAAATCTAGCAAAAATACAAGAATGACCATTATTGCTTTCGGTGTCAAAATTAAAAGAATAGTGACAACTGGAAGTAAGGAATTTAGATTTTGATAGTCGTTCAAAATTCTGTGTCCCCCATTGTACGTATGGTTTGGATTTTTTATATTTTTAATAAAATTTAATAAAGATACCATGTAATTTGAATTTGTCCTTGGTGTTATTTTATGTTACTAGAAATTTGAGTTTTGGCCTTTATAAACTATCCATCTATTTGAATTTTGTTTGTTACTTAATTAAATTAGCCTATTAATTAATCTACAAATAACCCGCTAAATTGGTTGAAATTGTATTTTATATCAAAATAGCCCAGGAGTATATACTTTCCAAGTTTTCACATATTATAACATTATCTATTTTATTCGTTTGCCCATGTTTCTTATAATGAGACCCATACGCTAAATCTGTGCACCCGCATAGAATGACAGTTTTTGAATTTCCCTGTATTATTTCGAGTATGTAAAAGGATTACTATCTTTAAGTTTAGTTTTAAACTGTTAATAAAATCCTACATCCCATATAATATAATATGGACCAATTTTCAATTTAATAAAACTAAAATATTTTATTTAAATGTAACTTTGGTTTATGAGCTTAATAAACTATGTATGGCACGTCACATTGACTTTAAAGTTTGTACAAACTTTTTTTTCTACACCGATTAGATCAAATGTTTTATGTTGTAACATTAAAATAGTATTACCTTACTTTAAAATTATTTTATATATAAAAAGTAAAATTTGATTTATGGGTTAGAAGTAAACCTAAAATCTTTGGATATATTTGGATAAGTTACTTTTTTAAACCTTTGGTAAATATAAAATTATATTAATTAGTTATTACATAAAGTAATATATAAAATAAAATTGTCTTAAATTACTAAAAATCATTAAAGGCAAGTTCTATGCTTAACAGCTTCTATTACAATACTTTTTATTGCCTTGACTGATTGATTAACCCTTTAAAAAAAGTCATTTATCATTTTTATGATGCACCATGTGTCTTTGCAAGTGATGCTTGTAATAATACGAAGCATCGCATAATTTACAGAAAAATGATTTTTTGTTTTCGCAAGAGTATCTTAAGTGATTTGTCATTCCTTTTTTTGATTTGTA